ATCACCACCATCTAATTTCAGTATATTTCATCACCTCTCCAAAGAAATCCCATACCCCTTCAGCAGTCACACTCTATTCCTCCTATGACCCCAGTGTCTTTTTATTATTCCTGAATCCAGTTCAGGATACTATACTGTCTCCTTAGACTTCTTTAGTATTTGATGGCTCCTCCTTTTTTTTTCATGACCTTTATCAGTTCAAAGAGAACTGGTCAGGTATTTTGTAGACTGCCTCTCCATTTGGGTTTGTCTAATGTTTTTCTTATTAGACTGGAGTTAACGTGTTTTGGAATAAAACAACACCATAGGGATGAACCATTTTTCTCACTAGATCATGTCAGGGAACTCATGATTTTAACATGATTTAGCACTGGTGATGTTAACCTTGGTCACTTGGTTAAGGTGGTACTGCCAGTTTCCTCCACCATCAAGTTACTAATTCCTCCTTTCCATGCTTCATTCTGAAGAATTGAATCATTAAATGCAGCCTACACTCGAGGCAGAGGGAATTAAATGGGATCTATTGTTGGGAGTACTGCTATACGGAAGATTTCTCTTCCCAGTATTTTTTCATTCAGCAATTTATACCACTGTGTACTCATTTATATTTTATACTTTTGTTTATCAATCAGTACTTTTTTTATGGTTTATTTATTTATTTTTTAGAGGTTTTATTTATTTATTTTTAGAAAGGGGAGAAGGGAAGGAGAAAGAGAGGGAGAGAAACATTAATGTGTGGTTGCACTCCATTCTGGGTTCATGGCCTGCAACCCAGGCATGTGCCCTGACTGGCAGTTGAACCGGAAATGCTTTGATTGGCAGGCCCATGCTCAATCCACTGAGCTACACCAGCCAGGGCTCAATACTCTTAGTGATTTTAGTTTTGACCATAAGGAGCCCTTTCATGTTGGCTCCTGACATACCTCCATGTTTTTCTTTAGCATCCTTACTTTTTGAAAAGACATTCTAAGATGCTCCAGGCTCATTTTGTATTTTTTCTGCCCTGTTTCTAGAATCAAGTATTCCTCCCACAGACCCTTGTTTCTTTTATTAGAGAGTGAATAATATTTAGAAACCAAAATTTGAGGAACTGGATGTGCTTATTGCTACTGGGTGTGACTGTTTCTGGACTATAGCTTAAAAAAAAAGACTGTTTTATTGTGATTTTAATTCATATATACAATTCACTCATTTAGAATACACAGTTCATTGGTTTGTAGTATATTTACAAATTTGTTCAACCGTCACTACAGTCAGTTTTCAAACATTTCCTATCAAAAGACCCATATCTTTTAACAGTTACCTCTATTTCTTTGCAGCCTTACCCCCTAACCCTTGCCCTAGGCATATACCAAACTATTCTGAACATTTCATAAATACGTGGGTTTTTTTGTGACTGGCTTTTCTTGCATAGTTGATGTTTTTGACGTTCATCCATATGTGGCACGTGTCAGTTCCCTTTCATTGGTAATAGTCTAGTGTATGAATATATACAGCATTTTGTTTAACCATTTTTCAGTTGGTAGACATTCAGGGTGTCTACATTTTGACTGTTAATACTGCCATGAACATTTGTGTATAAGTTCTTAAGTGGATATAATGTTTTTAATTTGTCTTGGGTATTCACCTACTTGGTAGTAGACTTGGTGGGACACATGGTGACTATTTATTCTTTCAAGAAACTGCTGGACTGACTGGTCGTGGCTGGGTGGCTCAGTTGATGAAGGTGTTGTCAACTGATCAATGTTTCTCACATCAGTGTTTCTCTCTGTCTGTCTCTGTCCCTGTCCCCCTCCCTTCTTCCTTTCCTCCCTCCCTCTCCCCCCTTCTTTCCCTTCTTTTCTCTCTCTAAAAATCAAAGATGTCCTTGAGTGAGGATAAAAAAGAGAGAGAACAGAGTCTTATGGCTATTTCAAAAGATATAACTTTATTAGTTTTGCATGTGAAGATTCAGTTGTCTCAAAACAATTTGTTGAAAAGGATTTTTCAAATTGCATTAAATTGTCCTTACACTAGTACCAAGCTGTCTTGATCACTATAGGTTTGTAGTATGTTTTGAAACTGAAAAGTGAATTTTCTAGTTATTTTTAGATTGCTATGGTCCCATGAATTAGTATTTAGTACCAGTCTTTTTATTTCTGGAAAGAAGGCAACTGGGATTTCCATAGATCTCTTTTCTCTTTACCCCTCTCCCAGACTTTGTGTATTTGTCTGGGCAAGCCTTTAATACTTGGCTAGGTGGTTGCGAATTGCACCTTAGCCTCCATTTCCTTATTGTGCAGATCTTCAAGTTCAGCCTTCTAATTACGTCTCATGACTTTTCCTGAGTATGTGCATATAGTTTGGGCATATGCACAGCCCCACATTGACCTCGTCTTCTAGATTTTTAGGAATTTGTCAGAGCTCCTCAAAACTTTTATGGATTTCTCATATCCCAGCTTTTCCTATTAAATTTTTTGGTTAGTCTATTGTTTGACCAGGCAGACAAATAGATTCATCTAGGGAATCACCAGCAAGGTCAAGTAATAACAGCTTTTTGGGAGTAAGTCTTTGTATCAAGAAATAAAGGCTGCTGGTCTTTATTTCAAGTGTATGCTGTTAGTAGTAAGCCTAGCATGGCTCTGGAGAACAGGGACTAGAACAAGTTAAAACACCACGAAGTTCACTGTTCCAGTTGAGGTTCAGCTGTTTTTCTTGAATGATAGATAGTCCCTGAATTGCTGCAAGCTTTTGGTTATTTTCTAGATTCTGAAGAAGTTGATTCTCACAATTTTTGTCAATTTTCTCAACATTTTTATTGAAGAAAGAATTTTTAAGGGTTCTGACACTGCCATTTTCATTAATGTCTTTAGCTTATTTACTCTTAGCTTGTCCTTTCATTTTCTTCTTCACTCTCTTTTACTGGTATTGTCAGATGAAACTTTTTCTGGATTTCATTGTATTTGAAGTATGATATATGGCCAAGTGTTACAGAACCCCGCCTATGCTGTTCTGGAACAGCTGTGAGGTTCAATTGCCTGCCGCCAAGAAGTGTGACTCCCATTGCAAGTTTGTTGAAAAGAGGAAAGGGGTTGTTTACTTAAAGGCTGTACAGATTTAGAATAATGGCTGATTTCTGCCATTAAGTCCCACTCCCTTTAAAACACCCCAAAACACATAGTTCTGCCCCTGCTTTGCTAAACCAGGCCAGTTTCAGAATACGCCAGTCAGAGGTACTATCTTTTAGAAAAGCAGAAGTCCACGGCTCAGCTTTCCTGGTTACAGTTCAGCATTCCAAGTGTCCTCTGCTAATCTGTGTTTGGTTAGACAGGTTCCCCAGGAGGTCTCCTCTTCTTACTTTAGCTCTTAATCCAAAACTGCATAGCATCTCCTACTCCAAACTAAACCACATAGCATACCCTTGCACACCAGACCACATGGTGGTTGGCTGGGGTGGGGGTGGGAGGACTCTTCACCATTTCAAACCAAATGGCTGCTGCTCCTTCTTACTACACCAGACTACATGGTAGTCTTGACTCCCGGCCGGCATGGCTTCTACCTTACACACCAGCTCTTACAGCAGACTGCTTCACTACAAACTGCATAGCTGCTTGCTGCTTTTTCTCAGACCTCATGGCTGAATTCCCCCTACGGTTTGCATGGCTGCTTCCCTATTATTTCGGCCCTTATGGTGAAATTTCCATGCTTCCTGGCTCCTTCCTCATGGCTGTATCTCCTCTCTCAGCCCACCCTTATTTTTAAATGCTGACTTGGAACTTCCCACATGTCGTCATATCCAGCACTTCCCACAATGGGATACTTTTGTCTGGTCCTTCATATCTTTCACTTTCTTTTGGCTGGCATCTTTTTTTTCTTTTTTCTTTTTTTAATTGTCTGCCATCTTTAGTAGGGCAGGAGTACCCCCTGGTATGGTTGCCTCCACCTCCCTACCTCTTTGCACAGACACTGTATCTGCTCCCAGTTACCCTGGGTGGCAGCACAGCTATTAACTTGCCTTTTGTTATGCAAATTATCTTGTTTCATCTACTTCCACTTCCTCCAATCCAGGTTTGTTGGAAGTTCTGCTGTTTTCTGGGATCCTGTTTTCCACGCCATTACACAAGGGCATTTAATGCATCGGTATTTGCAATAGCAAAGGGGTGAAAAAACTCCAAGTGCCTCAAAATAAGGGATGATTTATCTATATATCTGTATGATTCAACATTATGCATATACTAACAGTCATACATTTGAATTTATTTGATGACATAGGAAAACATTGATGATAGATGGAAAAACAGTAAAAAACAATATATTCAAATCTTTGAAAATAAATTTTGTAAAGAAATAAGCATATGTATGCATCAAGAAACTACTGGAAGGAGCTACTTGAAAATGGTAGCATTTGTTATCTGGGTGCTGGTTGAATTATGTGAGTGAAGAAAATACTGCCTTGGTCATGTGTCTCACTGGTTGGAACGTAATCCTATAACCAAAAGGTTGCCAGTTCGATTCCTGGTCAGGGCATATGTCTAGATTGTGGATTTCATTCCCAGTTGGGGCATATACAGGAGGCAGCCAGTTGATGTTTCTTTTTTTTTCTCTTTCTCTCTTTATCTCTCTTTCCCCCACTTCCCTCCCCCCCTGCCTCCCTTCTCCTCTTGGGATGAGAATAAAATAAACCTTAAAAAAAACTTTGTTCTATATTATTTACCATAATGTTATATTATTTTAATTAATGTGGCACACCTGTCCATGTTATTGTTGTCACTCATGTGAGCTCAGTTAAAAATTATGTAGCTGTTGAGTTTTGTTGATTTAACATAAACTCTTAGAAATATTTGAAGAGATGCTGTAATAAAAGCCCTGGCATTGGGGTAACAACATATATATGAGCTATTTTTAATCCCCAGACTCTATACAAAGGAATTTTGTTTCATTGAGGTATAATAGGGTAATTATTAGGCAAATGAATAACCTGTAATCTCATTTATTAGTATTTTGTGTTTTTTTCTTTTCAGGCGCATATTAAATTTCCTATTGACTACCCATATTCACCACCTACCTTCAGATTCTTGACGAAAATGTGGCACCCCAACATTTATGAGGTAAGAGACATCTATTATAAGTTTCTCCGAAGATTTGTTTTTCAGTTACAGTTTTTAAAAATTGCCTTTATAATTCAGTATGGTGTGGTAGTTAGTGCTATAGCCACAAAGGACTAGTTATGGTTTCCCACTTTTAGCTAATAATAATAATAATCTCTAGTTTAATTGTTCAAAATTAAGAATAGTTTTATAATACCAATGTATAGTTTAGTTAATTTAAGATTGAGGCTTTAGGCCTTTGCTCCTCATTGCTAAGGTATAATGCATATGTGTTAATAACATTTGCATTTTTTAAATTTAGTAGATAAAGTCATACCAATTTATTTGTGTACCTGTCCTCTAGCTTCACAGCAAGGGTCACCTGTTGCTATGAACAGAGATTCAGCTTTTTGGGGGGATTTATCCTACTATATTTGGACTGCCCTCTTTTCAGGAGTTGCTGCAGAGCAATTGAGAGCCCCTTTTGGAATAAATCCAAGGTGAGGTTCTTTCACTGGACAAGACCCATATGCCTGGGGAAATCATTTCTAGTTCTGTGGATGAAATTTACCTACCTTTGTGTTAATCTGTACAGATGCTAGAATGATGCATTATGTTTCTCAGAATACTATTTCAGGGCCCACTAAATATCCCTTGAGTTCACTCTTTTACCATTCTGTAAATTTTTTCATTGCAATAGGGCTCTGAAGTGGTGTCATTTTATTGTAGCTATGACCCAAGCATTAAATTTGCTTAAAAATTTTTTTTAAATTTAATCTTACTGTATTTTTATTTTTAGAGAAGGGGGAAGAGAGGGAGAGAAATATCGATATATGAGAGAACTATCTATCAGTTGCCTCTTGCCCACCTCCAATGGAGGACCTGGCCTGCAACCCAGGCATGTGCCCTGACTGGGAATTGAACTGGCAACCTTTCAGTTTGCGTGATGATGCCCAACACACTGAGCACTGAGTTTAGTCAGGGCTAAACTTGCTTTTAAAAAGTTATAGCCTAAGTCATATAGTGCTGTTTTTGGCTTGTTGGGTATTGGGAAGCACTTTTGCTCCAGATTGTATAGACTTGAAAATGCTTGTGGGCGAGAAATGGAGAACTCAGTTTATTTAGGGTCTGAATTTGGATCTCAGTCTGTATAAATTAGTGTACAGGAACAGCTTTACTGTTTTTCACAACCTGCTTTTTCTGTAAGGTGTTATCTTCATTATTCTTAAAACAGGACAAACTGTGCTCAAAAGGTGATATGTAGTCACATTTTTAGAAGTAAAGCTCCTAAAATATTATCTTCTTTAGTGTCTTCAGTATTTGACATAACCACAATACAAATAAACAGTAGTGAATACCTTAGATTATTCTGTATTAAAAAATTATCTTGTTGTAGAAGAGAATTATAGAAATAATTCAGTGTTTCATTAGTTTAAACTGCATTCACACAAATATTTTTGTGCCCCTGCCCATGTAATAATCAGTTCTTGCCTTCAAAACTGTATAGTATATTTAGATTTTAGATAGCAAAATGAATTGCCAAGACTGAAGCTTTTGTCTTCCTATAGAGAACTGATTCACCTTAAAGCCATATACTCACTTGTTTCCATCTGTTTTCTAACTCTCAAACTCCTCTCAAAAAAAAGAAAGAAACAGAAACCAGAATAAAGGATTCAGAGTTCTGAAAAAGGGAAGTGTGTAGATGGATAAACTCCTCTTTTCACTGCTTTTTACTATTTAGGTATGGGCTGTTGCATTCTGTGTCATTAGAGTTAGCATTGGGTTATTATTTTTAAAAATAGTTTTTGTATTTATAATAAAAGTTTTAACAATAAAATAATGCATGCATGTCTTATAAATATTCCATTGTTTTCTGTAGCTTAAATGTTTTATTTTAAAATAAATGATAAGTCATAGTTAAGAATTAAATTCGATGTAGTTCTTTTGATTTAAAGGAATTACAAGAGACTTTTCTCACATTATTTAATTTACCTTTGATACATTCTCGAAATGTTAATTAAAATTCAATTTTTTGAGGTCCCATGTCAATATTTGTGTTTCTTAGAGATTATGGGGGCTCATGGGTCTTGGACAAAAAGATATTCTTGGAAGTTGCATTCTACTCACCTACCTATGCTAGAAACACAATGGGTTTTGATGTCCAATTGCTATAATCACCAAAATGTTTACTGCAGAGTTATTTATGCCTGAGGATACAAGAGGATACAATGACAGTAACAACAAAACAAAAATAAAAAAGCAAATGCGTACTCAAATTCCAAACTATGGGAATTGATAAAGAGTTTTTGGTATATTAACTCAGTGAGCACTAAAAATAAACATTATAGACTATTACTGGTTGAACACAGAGTTTAATATATCAAGTTTAAAAAATTACAAAAGCTTTGGTTATTTTTAAATACATCCATAGACACACTACTACAGCCCCCAAAGTTAAAACTACTGCTGTGTTATATGAGCAAATTCAGTTATTTTAACATTTCCTTTATCATTGCCACGTTTGTAAAATTTATGAATATCGGGAATATTGGAGAACAAACGAAATTGAATATGAACTTTTCATCAGTAATTGTGCTGGACAATCTACTCCTTTCTGCTTTTTTGTAATATCTTGAGTGAACTGAAAAAATATTTTCCTGGTTATGTATTGTGTGCTCAGAAGTAGACAACCAACTAGAACCCCATTGGCTTCATAAACCGTGTTAATATATGAGGTTTTCGTGCACATTGTTCTTCACTGTGAACATGACAGCTATGGCAACTCAATCTCACTGCTCTCTAATCTTTATTTATAAAAAAATTAATATATATTGAAAAAATTTACAGCATGCTAATTTTTATACTAGTTTTTACATTTATTTAAAATATATTTTATTGATTATGCTATTAAAGTTGTCCCATTTTCCCCTTTTATTCTCCTCCGCCCTGCATACCCCCTCCCACCCACATTCCCCTACTTTATTTAGTTCATGTCAATGGGTCATACATATAAGTTCTTTGGCTTCTATGTTTCCTATACTATTCTTAACCTCCCCCTGTCTATTTTCTACCTACCATTTATGCTACTTATTCTCTATACCTTTTCCCTCTCTCTCCCCATCCCCTGCTGATAACCCTCCATGTGATCTTTATTTCTATGGTTCTGCTCCTGATCTAGCTGTCCTCTTAGTTTGCTTTTGTTTTAGGTGTGGTTCTTAATAACTGTGAGTTTGCTGTCCTTTCACTGTTCATCTTCTTTATCTTCTTTTTCTTAGATAAATCCCTTTCATTTCATATAATAAGGGCTTGGTGACCTTATCTGAGAAGCACTTTACCTGCCCTTCCATTGTAAAGGTGATAGCTTTGCTGGATAGAGCAATCTTGGATGTAGCCCTTGCATTTCATGACTTGGAATACTACTTTTCAGCCCCTTCTTGCCTGCAAGGTTTCTTTTGAGAAATCAGCTGACAGTCTGAGGGGAACTCCTTTGTAGATAACTGTCCCCTTATCTCTTGCTACGTCTAGGATGCTCTCATTCATTTTAATCTTGTGTAATGTAATTATGATGTGCCTTGGTGTGTTCCTCTTTGGGTCCAACTCCTTTGGTACTATCTGAGCTTCCTGGACTTCCTGGAAGTCTATCTCCTTTGCCAGATTGGGGAAGTTTTCCTTTATTATTTGTTTAAGTAAGTTTTCCCCTTGTTGCTCTTCCTCTTCCCCTTCTGGTACCACTATAATTTGGATGTTGGAACGTTTAAAGATGTCCTGGAGGATCCTGAGTTTTTCCTCATTTTTTTTGAATTCTTATTTCTTCATTCTTTTCTGTTTGGTTGTTTCATCCTTCTGGTCCACTCCATTGATTTGAGTCAAGAGTTTCCTTCCTGTCACTGCTGGTTCCCTGTACATTTTCCTTTATTTCACTTAGCGTAGCCTTCATTTGTTCATCTACTTTGCGACCAAATTCAGCCAGTTCTGTGAGCATCCTGATCATCAGTGTTTTGAACTGTGCATCTGATAGGTTGGCTAGCTGTTTGTTGCTTAGTTGTATTTGCTGTGGAGCTTTGATCTGTTCTTTCATTTGGGCCATTTGTGTGTGTGTGTCTCCCGGTGCCTGTTATGTATGAGGGGCAGAGCCTTAGGTGTTCACCAGGGTGGGAAAACCCAAGTTGCTGCTTTGTGACACTGTCTGTGGGGGAGGGGTAGACAGGGAACAATGCCTCTTACTTTTCTCTCTGCCGGTTTTCAGTCACTTCTGGCACTTCCCACTATCAAATTGGGCCCTTCTGGTGCTGATTCCCTGGTGGGTGGGTTTATGTAAGTCCTGGGACCCTGTTGGTCTCTCTAGCCAACGCTCCTGTGAGACTGGGAATTTCTCCCACTGCCACCTGGACCCCTTCAGGTGTTTTTAGTCAGAGGCTTTGAGTCTTGATTTCCTTGTGCTGGAACCCTGGGTTGCTCTGTCTGTCTCGCTCCTTAGTTATTCTTCCTGGTTTATCTGGTCACGAATGTGACCACTGGGACCACCCAGTCTGCCAGCCGCCACCTCACCAGGTCCATCAGCCACCGCTTTGCTGCTAGTCCTCTCCGCCCCTCCTACTGGTCTGGATGAATGTTCCTTGGTTGTCGGACTTCCATACAGTTTGGTTTTCTGTTCTGGTTGCTTTTTATTTTTAAATTTTTTGTTAGCCTTCTTTCGATTGTGTGAGCAGGCACAGTGTATCTACCTATGTCTCCATCTTGGCTGGAAGTCTAATTAACCTTTAGATACCTGTCTTTTTCTACCATTTCTATCTTGCTATCCACCTATATGGTCTTTCTTTACTCCATGTACATCATTATGTTTACAGGGGGTGCATTTTGATGGGAAGTATATTTGAATCCTTGAAATAGCAAGATATTTTATAATAAGGGTTTATTCCCTTCTTATTTGATAGCAATTAAATTTTTTTCAGATAGTAAAATATATGGGTAGCTTAGTTGGTACTGCTTCATCTCCTTTGATCATTCAACATATATCTTTC